ACATAGTGTTGAATCCTCTCAGCGAACTGGAAAAATATGTGTTTTTTATTTTAGCCAGCATGTTTCATTTTGTGTGAATGTGAGTGTGCTTGGTTCTGTTTGTCTGTGTAGCTCTGTGATAGACTGGTGACCTGTCCAGGGTGTCCCCTGCCTTTGCCCTGAGTCAGCTGGGATAGTGAGGATTAAGCAGTGTATAGATAATGGATGGATGGATGTTTCATTTTGCTGTCTGTAGATGATATTGACATGGATACAGACTATATTAACCCTCTAGAGGTCTTGGCCTGGTTTGGCTGTTTTTGCATACTTTAGTTTTGTCTTAATATACCACATAGAAACATGTTTACCGTGCCCATGTTTGGTATCTTTTTTTTTCTCAGCACATCACCTATACTATCTGATTATTATTTTGTCAGTTTAACCAACTATATTAACATTTTGGACTCAAAAACATACAGAAAATACAAAATCTGTTTTGAAAAAACACTTTATTTAAATCAAAAACCACAAACATACTTAATGAAGCATTTTGAAAGTTGAAAATGTAACCATAGGTTGCAGATATGAATTTGAAAAGGTAACTTTAATATAAAATCAAACTAAACACACATATTTGCTACGAATATACAAAGCAGGTGTGGCTTTCTTTCTGTTTGTATATATGCCACCCCTAAAAATAGTTTCTGTTCAGAATGAGGCAGAAAGCAACATGGCAGGACCTGTTCTTCCAAGGACTTTCTTTCACTTTCGCTTTGTCCGGAACAAAAATCCGTCACAAAAAATAACAGAGATGTTGAAAGAAATGCGACCTATATTTCATATGCTTATGTTATACACGGGTTTTTTTTCTACGCAAAACATCATACAGTCGTCCTTAAATGTATGGGGGGAAAAAACAGCTGTCACTGAAATAAGTTGAAACTGACAAAAGTAATAATAAATAAAAAATAATGAAGATCATGACATTCCCTTTGAATTGTGGTTCAACAGAAATATTAAAACAAAAACAACAACAACAAAAAACAACAAGCATGATGGGACCCGTAAACTAATATTTACTTGAACAACCCTTTGAGCCAATCACTGCAATCAAGTGTTTTCTGTAACTCCCAATCAGACCTGTTGACAGGTATTTAGATTTTGGCCCACTGCTCATCAGCAAAGTGCTCTAATTTGTCAGGGCAGATTTTTTAAAATTTTATTTATTATTATTATTCTGTTCACCCACAATTCAAAAGCAATGTCTTATTTCACTAAATTATAATTTAGCAAATTTTTATTTATTATTACTTTTTTCAATTTCTAGTTATTTGAGAGACTATTGTGAATTTTGTCTTTTCTTTAATGGAAGGGTATGAAGAGGACGACTGTATCTCCGGTTTTATGTAGCCTATCGACATGAAACAAAAACTGGGAGAGTTGATCGCTTGTTTTTTTGTTTTTTTTGTCGTGATGTCTCGAAAATAAGACGTTTTTCGGCGAATTTTTCTTCACGTAGCATCTTTATCTTCACACACACGCATGTCTGGTGGTGACGGATCGATGGGCTCCGTACTCGATTGCTTCCGCCTGGCGTTGGTGTGAGTCGATAGCAGAGTCGAGGCTGTCGCTGATGCAACACACTGACAGCCTCTCTGAACCGGTTACTCTGCCCCACGTCTCACTGCAAGAAGTACCGAGGTAAGCCAGCTGCTTTTACGTTGTGGCTTTAAGGTAGAACGTGAGGTAAACGAAAAAGTTTAGCCCCTAGGTGATGTAGCTAAGCAGTTTGAGGCAGATACATCACAGGGGCTCTGGAGCTTTAGCTGCACATGGTGTTGTAGCTAACTAGTAGCTACACGGTCCTAGCTGGCTGCTTCATTCATGGAGGTTGTCTGTCCGCTATAGTAGCTAGCATTTTGTCTTAAAGTTGACTTAATGGTTTATGCCTGACATATCGAGAAAAAAAGATGTTCCGTGTTTCAGAATCATTCATTCAAAGCTTCATGTCCAAATCAAACGGAAACGTCATCATTCCCGGTTGTTAGCTTTCCATATTGCACGGCTTAAACCTGAATGAACTACTAATCTTTGGGGATTTTCGGCATATAGTCAAAACAAAAAACAGAACAAATAAAGCTGCAGTTAATGTTTAACGCGGGAAATATAACTACAAACTGAGAAAAGTAACAATAAATAAAAATTAGCAAAATTATAATTTAGTGAACTGAGACATTGCTTTTGAATTGTGTTTGAAAAGAATAATTAAAAAAATAAATAAAAAAACTGTCCCGCACACATTACAGCACTTTGCTGATGAGCAGTGGGCCAGAATCTAAATACCTGTCAACAGGTGCAGAAGTCTGATTGAGAGTTACAGAAAACACTTGATTGCAGTGATTGGCTCAAAGGGTTGTTCAACAAAATATTACTCTACGGGTCCCATCATGCTTGTTTGCTTGTTTTTTTGTTTTTGTTTTATTATTTCTATTGAACCACTATTCGAAAGCAATGTCATGATTTTCATTACATTTTAATTTGTTATTACTTTTGTCAATTTCAACTTATTTCAGTGACAGCTGTTTTTTTCCTTCTTTAATGGGAGGATTTGAATCCATTTGAGGACGACTGTATGTGACCTCCTATGTTTTATGAAAGCAAAAGTGAAATGACAGCATTACTTAAATTCCAGTCTTTGTATTCAGAGTGCCCTGCCCCATGGCTGATCAACTGAGTCCAGATGAGAAGTTCCACCTCATCACCAGGAACCTGCAGGTGAGACATGCTAACACCTGTCCATAGTGGCTATTAAAGGCCTCATGTAGCTCGATCTCATGAGTGTCTGTTTGTGTGTATTGCAGGAGGTTCTGGGAGAGGACAAGCTGAAGCAGATTCTTCAGGAGAAGGAACCCAGGGTGTACTGGGGTACGGCGACCACTGGCAAACCCCATGTCGCTTACTTCGTCCCCATGTCCAAGATAGCTGACTTCCTCAAGGCTGGATGTGAGGTGAGTCGGCTTTGGTTTGGAGGAGACTTGTCATGTCTTTGGGAATTATCGTTGCGTAAGTTTATTAGGATGACATCAGCAGAACATGACCAGGACCAAACACATAGATCTGATGGGATCGTGGATTTTTCTAGTGGGAAATTGTCATGCCCTGACATATATTTGATGGTAATCTGATCAGAAGGCCCCTGATAATTTGAGATTGAATAACCCAACTGGTAAATCGAGAGCTTCCTCTTCTGGCTCATCTTCCTTTTCATCACAACGGTTTACTGCAACATCTGCGTTACTGCTGACACTGCACTAATGCCCATCTCGAGCTCCATTTTTCCATCACTCAAGAACAAGATCATCCTTTTTAGGACAGTGCATCACCATTCCTAAAGTTGACTCTTTCTTCAGGTCTTTCAGTCAAACGGGGTTTTGATTTGCCTTTCCTGCAAACCTATGAACAGTTCTCTCTAAAAGTTTTTTTGGTCTTGCAGACCTCAGTTTGACCTCCACCACACTTTTAACTGGCATTCCTTAATTACATCATGAACTCAGGACACAGCTACCTAAAAATGCTTAAAGACTTTTCATGCTGGCAGCTGCTTATGCTTAATTGTTGGGACAAGGTCAGTCAGAGTGTCGATAAAGCTGTAAAATCTGCAACACCTGGCTTTTCCCAGCAATGACTGTGAACAGGCCATCACCCTAACAAGCTAATTAAGGTGTGACACCTTGCCAGAAGTTATCAGGGAACTCAGATCTCATGTGGTGGCCAAATGTTTGCCTGCTGCTCCTTTGCTTTTTTCCTCTTTAAAATTGTACAAAACAAAAATAAAATGTTGATCTTGCTTAAAATGTTGAAAAGAATGTTTGATGTTTATTTTATACCTTTTGCAGATCAGACCACCTGCTGCTCATTCAAACTGTTCACTGACAGATATTTGGACCAGGGGTGCCAAAGCTTGTGCATGTTGCTGTTACTTACTTGGGTTTCTTCTTCCTTTCCTCAGGTCACAATTCTGTTTGCAGACTTGCATGCCTACCTGGACAACATGAAGGCTCCCTGGGAGCTGCTGGAGCTCAGGGTGAAGTACTACGAGCAGGTCATCAAGGCCATGCTGGAAAGCATCGGTGTGCCTCTGGATAAACTCAAGTTCATCAAAGGAACTGACTTCCAGCTCAGCAGGTCAGTTGTACTGTTGGTACCCAGAGAGTGACTTAACATGCTCTTCTTTAACTTTAGATTCTCGGAAAACAACTTTGTGGCTGCAGCCTATTCTAAAACTGAGGGTCCATCTTTTTGTGTTTGTGCAGAGAGTACACTCTGGATGTGTACCGCCTGTCCTCCATGATGACAGAGCACGATGCTAAGAAGGCTGGAGCTGAGGTTGTCAAACAGGTGGAGCATCCTCTGCTGAGTGGTCTGCTGTACCCTGGACTACAGGTAATAACACTGTCCTAGATGGAGGAGGAACTTTGCACTGCTACTAAGCAGTGGTATTAGATATTTCCAGTGTGTCCTCATGAGCTCAGTTAGTAATTGATATCCAGTTGTTTATAGGAAAATAAAAATAAAGGTGTTCATTGTAGAATTTGTCACAGTAAATACAATTGTGTTTGTCCTCAGGCTCTGGATGAGGAGTACCTGAAAGTGGACGCCCAGTTTGGAGGAGTTGACCAGAGAAAGATCTTCACTCTGGCAGAGAAGGTGTGATATACAGCAGCACATTTATCATGTTTGTCCACTAGTCTGGGTCGACTCTCTTTAGCTGTGGCAAACTGTGAGGACTTGTGTCCACTGCAGCCTCACAGCAGGGGACGTCGGGAAAATGACCTCCACAGCAAAACAGAGTCACCGGATCCCCTGACTGTAGGGGTCAAGGGTTCAGTGCTGTTTTTTTTTTTTTTGCTTTACATTTCACGTGGCCCATCTACTCATCTGACTTACTTTGCTCCATATCTCTGTAAACTAGTATGTTGTTGTACCATTAAAGTCTCAAATGTTAGTTCATCGTTCTCATGAGGGATCTATGCCCTGCAAACTCACAATAATACCCCCCTTAATGTAAATGTCACCAGGTTTGCGCATTGGCAGTCCCAGTCAGAGTTGCTCTTCTTTTTTTTCCGACACGTTGCACTCAAGTGTACATTGTCTGTCACAGTTTCTGAATTTATTAACAAATGTCTTTCCCATAGATCTAAATGCAGATTCCGCTTTAGTTACCGCTCCTATTGAGACACTCGCCAGTTGAAGAAGTCTTTGCGACTGAAGCTCCTGCCATCTGTGCTCCAACAATGACCCCTCTTTCAGCGCGACTTAGATCGTTCTTCATGCCATCTTGATACGAAATCAAAATTAACTGGGCCTGATCTCTGGCTTTGTTCGTAGCACTTGGCTTTTTATTGACAACAGTTAAACTTGTTGAAAGAAAAATTTATTTATCTGAAGTGGTTTACTGGAGGTTGACAGTAAAAATTCTCACTACAAAACCGTATAGAACGGATTAGATTTAGGTGTTCAAGTGTTGACATTACAGAGACATGATCTTAGGAAGCTGTTTTCTGAATTAGATCTAAAATTTAGCATTTTTTTCTTTTTCTGGCAGTACCTGCCCACTCTTGGCTACGCTAAGCGTGTCCATCTGATGAACCCGATGGTGCCAGGACTCACAGGGGCTAAGATGAGCTCTTCAGAAGAGGTAGGGCTGCAGAAATGTTGCTTGTCAAGGAAAAACGCTGTGATTTCTTTGTAGACACTTTTCGTAGCTCCTACGGCCAATTCTAACTTTATCTGTTTGCGGCTGCAGGAGTCAAAGATCGATCTCCTGGACTCCAAGGAGGACGTGAAGAAGAAGCTAAAGAAAGCTTTCTGTGAGCCGGGCAACATCCAGAACAATGGAGTCCTCTCTTTTGTCAAATATGTCCTCTTCCCTCTACGAGGAGGTAAAAAAAAAAACTCCCACTTTAGTCTCTTTCTGTTTTGATTTTAGATGTTTCGTCCACATGTAGAAAGAGTATAAAATAAGTGGATAATTAGTGTCATTGTTTCAGAGTTCTCCATCAAAAGAGACCCGAAGTGGGGTGGAGACAAAGTTTACACTGTGTTTGAAGAGGTGGAAAAGGACTTTGCTGAAGAGGTATGGCTAAACTTGTTTATTTAGAAAAATGAAAGCTATAACTGAAGTATATCTTGGTCTGACTATGAATAATCTCTCGCCTTTTTAGTCGATCCACCCTGGAGACCTGAAGGCCTCAGTGGAAACTGCGCTGAATCTGCTACTAGAACCAATCAGAAAGAAGTTTGAGACTCCAGAGCTCCGCAAACTGACCAACACTGCCTATCCTGATCCCTCAAAAATGAGTCAGTGTTCAACTACGTGACAAGTTTGGCATAAAATTGGGAAGTAGCTTTTTGCTGAGACTTAACATTGCTTTGTGTGTGTGTTATCAGAAGCAGGAGGAAAGGGAGCTAAGGCAGGAGGAGGAGGTGGAGGTGGAGGAGAGAATGATGAGCTGGCCCCGTCCAGACTGGACATTAGGGTGGGCAAGATCATCAGTGTGGAGAAGGTTAGTTCAGCTGGTTACTGTTTAATCTGAACTACTTTCAGATCAGCTGTGTGGAGATGATATCGTGTTACGAGAACTGTTTCTGTCTGTGTTCACATGGGTTCCTTCTCCTTCACATCTGCAGCATCCGGACGCTGATTCACTCTACCTGGAGAAGATCGACGTGGGAGAGCCAGAGCCAAGGACGGTGGTCAGCGGCCTGGTAGCTTATGTTTCGCAGGAGGACCTGCAAGACAGAACGGTGCTGCTGCTGTGCAACCTGAAACCCCAGAAGATGCGAGGGATCGAATCTCAAGCCATGCTGCTATGTGCCTCCATGTGAGTGTCATTTCTTCTTCTGACAAATGTAATGTAGCTTTCAATGAAATTTTTACGACTCCTCCGATCTGTCCGGTTGATTTCCAGTGACGGGGACCCCAGGAGGGTGGAGCCTCTGGACGCTCCCGAGGGTTCGTCACCAGGCGATCGAGTCTTTGTGGAAGGATATGAGACCGGCAAGCCAGATGAAAAACTCAACCCAAAGAAGAAGGTGTGGGAGAAACTACAGGTGCGTTTGAGCCACATTTGATATGTTCTCTGCTCCGACATACACTAAATTGCAGCAGATACGACTTCACCTAAAAGTCTGAACTGAGATAAACCACATGTACATAATTGTGTTGTTTTAGGTGGACCTGAAGGTGTCAGACGAGTGTGTAGCTCAGTGGAAAGACAAGCAGCTGATGACCAAACTGGGACAGATCACATGTAAGACACTGAAAGGAGGCAACATCAGCTAAATACGCACACAATACATTCATCAGTGAAGCTGCTTCCGCCGGCCACACAAGATTACTTTCATGAACAAATTGCCATGGCTACATCAAACTTCATCTGGTTGTTTCTTGAGGAATGATGGGACACGGATGCCAAAAGTCGGAGATGTTTCAGATCAACTGGGATGGATTCTGTTAACGTTTAATTCCTAAAACACAAACGGTCACTTGAAACAAAAACTATGTAACTAATCAAGCTATGAGTCACTGCTTTCTCTCTCTATTTTTGGAATCAAATGTTGTCGCTAATGCATTTAAATGTACAAGTACAACAGATGTTCAGCAAATCTGAGATGACTGGTTCTGTTCAGCTGAAGGTCTACAGTCTGGATTGCTCATTCCTGGACATAGCTAATACAGGGTAACTCAGGTTTCTAAAAAGGGACTTTCAGTGCATTTTTCAGTTGAAGATCAGGGCAGGACATGGTTTTATGGGTTCCAGACATCAGAAGTATATAAAAATCAATATGCCTTGTACTATAAGACAGTTGTAAGATCCGTATCTGGACGTGAAATGTCATAATCAAATAATGCATCATCTCTAATATGAAATAAATGCTGGCTAAACTCTGTGGTCTGCAAGAAATTTGATGTTTTTGTGTTGGATGAGGAAAAAATGTACAATAGCCATGTTTAGGTGTCACTTCTTTAAAGCACGAATGCAGGAAACAGCGTTTAATACACGTAAATTTTATTTATAGAAGTAATAACTGTACATAATTCTTTATAATCTTCAAAATGTAGATTTTGACCCACTATGAAGGGTCAGTATAATTCACTCGCTAATGATTCTGCTGGAGGGGGGAGGTGTTTTGTGCAAATCGTGATGAGTTTAATTTCCCACCATGTAAAGGCTTGGGCCAAAGTTTTAGGTACTTAATAAAAACACTGACTTCACACTAAGTCTGTTCCAGTGTATCAATCATCCAGGGCCAATCACAAAATCCACAGCCCTAAAAGTGGTTCTCAGATCAACTAGATGCTTAAATATTTCATATTTGGTAGGAAAAGGTGACCGACAGTGCTACTAGTGGAAACAACCACACATAAATAAATAGGATATTGGTGTTACTGTTTTCGCAAAAGATATCGCAGAATGTTTTAGGCAGACTTTTACAACGCCCAAGAATTGTATAGAAAGCAATAAAAATGCACATTTTAGCAGTTGCTGTAGTCAAATGCTTTTTTTCCCCCGTTAAGTCTTAATGATTTAGCTTTACAAAAGTGCCTCTGTCCTAACTGAAAAAAAAAACATCTCATTTTTTGTGAGTATGCAGCATCCCTTTTTTCTTCAAATACTCGTCCATACAGTAAAAAGGACTGAAACTAAGCGCGTCAATGTCTTCACTCATATATCTATGTAGGGAAGTGATGTCCTGTCCTAGAATGGAGGATGCTTTTGTCAAACTTTTCTGACAACTGAGTAAATCCTTGTGAGAATTCTGCATTATAATACAACAGGGAAAATAAACAGACAATAAACCTCTGTACAGAAATGCTTAGCCAGAACAAACCCTTTTCTCTGAGCTGCAGGTAACACTACCTAATGTAACCTCTGGGAGGCGATCTCACACAAGCCAAATATTCATATTAATTTAAGCCAATGTACACCATTTCACCCTGAGGGGCTTTAACAGGAGATAAACTATATCTTAGAAAAATACTCCAGAATAAAGCTATCATTAGAAATCGGGAGTGACACATTTTTTTTTGCATAAATATGTAGGAAGGCCATTACAGGCTAAGGCTTTTGGAGAAGACTTAACACACAACAACACTCAGATAGTTGAACTTAGTGTCTCTCAGTAATGTCAGTCAGTCAGTCCTTGCTGTGGGTTGTCCTTTTACTTGCTTGTAGTCTTTTCTTTCTTCCTCTGGCGTGAGTCTTCAGTTAATCATCAGGGAGCTCTTTTAAAACAGTGTTTCAATTGTGTCCGCTGTCACTCTTGTAGCTGGAAGGGAAAGGCAAGAAGAGGTTAGACATTGTGGCATCGCCATAATACAGTTACAGGAACACACGTAATGACTATTCTGTCCTAATCTAATTGAATCACTGAGACATGATCACAAGCTTCAGGTTAAGGCTGATTAAAGCACATGCTTGCACATTTGGAAAGAAGCTGTGGGCAAGCCACCAGCTTTTGATTTGTACTCGAGCAGACGGTGGCTTGTGGGTGCAGCTTTCTTTTGTTGGTGTAGACAGCACAAAACATGCTCTTTTAAACTGCTTTGCTGTTCAAAATCATGGTAATGCAAGAATTTGCATTCTGCTATTTCATGACAAGAGAGTGAGTAATTGATTTATTCTGGTGCTGGATCAGCAATCATGACTCAGCAGCAGCACATTGAAAAACACTGATGAAGGCAATGGCAATCACTTTTACAAAGATAATGATGGAAGATCGTGGTTGCCGCACTTACTTAAAGTTTCAGGAGGTGTTACTCCGCTCATATGTTGTGCTCCTATCGTTCCGTTTCTTTCAATGCCGTGCTCCATCTTCGTCGAACAGCTGGAAAAACTCTGTGAAGGACTGACGCTGCCGTGGGCTGGCTTCTTAGCTACTGGTGGAGGAACTTTATCACACTTCACTTCACCATTTGAGAAAGCAGCAACCTTTGATTGGTCAGACACCTGCATGAGCTCAGCCGCCAAGCTTTGCTTCAGACTTGCCTGAGCCTCTGGGGAGGAGGCAGCTGCAGTCTCTATGACAACCTTTTTTGTGCTCCTAGAGAAGATAAAGCTGGCGGTAGAGGCTGGGGACTTGTGCATGTCACATCCTTCAGGTAATTTTAGAGACACAGCTCCTGCTTCACTGAAACAGCTGTAAGTGGGTGATCTCACACCCAGTCTGGAAGGCAGACCATCTCTTGAAGACATTGCTGCAGTTTTCATACGTATAGCTTCCTGTAAGCGCATCGAAGGAGTGCTCATGGTCACTGAGGATGTTTTTACGGCCTGAGGGGGAGATTTAATTGACAAAGACTTGCGGATGGGCTTTTGAGGAATGTTTTGAGGGCTTTGGATTGAGACTGGACAATTCTCCTGAACTGGTGCCCCCTCATTTGTGGGCTTGTCCTCAGGTGGAGCTTTCACCTGATCTTCAGTCATGTTGACTGATCTGAGACGAACCATCTGAAGCAGGGAAGGGGTTACAAGAGGTATGTTAGCATCTTCTTTAGGAATGGGTGCACTTTTGTGGCGGGAGAGAAGTTCCTTGCTTCTGGCATCTCGATGTGCTACACTGGGTTGCCTTCTGAAATTCACCCCATGGGTTAAATTGTCTGCTGGTAGTGCAGGTGCTACTGGCACCGCACATGGACCTGAAGCTTGAGTACTGGCGGGAAGTGCAGAGGGGGCCTGATCTTCAATTTTCAGAGAGCTTCGCTTCAGGGAAATGCTGGGAGGAACTGCAACCGTGACTGATACTGGGCTCTCTGCTCTTGTAATAGGTGGTATAGGAGGTGATTCCACTGGTGGAGGTGATTCCACTGGTGGAGGTGATTCCACTGGTGGAGGTGAGACACTGTCTGAAACAGATGAAACATTCTGCACTTGTTGGCAAGAAATGTCATCATCATCGTTAGGTTGTGAGACTTGGACAACAACCACTGGTTTGTGGTTATTTTCAGCTGGTTGTGAAGTAGCTGGGGGCAAGTCTGGATTTTGTACAGTACGTCCATTAGGGACGTCCAACTCTGTAGCACAGCTGTTCATTACATCTGGCGCACTGTCTGCTATGAAGGGTGGAGGAGGTGGAGGAAAATCTACCTCATCTCCTCCATCAAAGACAGAATCTCCTTCCATAGGAGGAGGAGGAGGTGGCCAGCAAGACTCCACAATGGGACTCTCTTCCTGTACCCGCTGTAATTCATTTGTTGGTATACACATGGATGAGGGAGATGTTTTCCTTGATAACGGGGGCGTAGGGTGGTATGCTGGGGGAGGGGTAGGTGGCGGTGAGACCTTATTCATTTTTGGGACCTCTATTGAAAGTGTCTGCATGCATGTGACTTCACTTCTGTCCGTTTCATTCTCACTCTTTTCAGCTAAACTTGTTACACTATTCTGTGAAGAACTTGTGTGGTTCTCAACAGATGAAGAAACCTCTGTTATGGTACTGCCACTCATTTCCTTTTGCTGTTTCTCTAATGGCTGCTCTGTCAACACCGTTTCCTCTCGGTGTAGTATTGTCACAGGTTTCTTCATGACAGGAGGGGGATCTTTCTTTGGACTTGTCTCTTGACTCTTTAGGTCCTTCGCTACAGAGCTACTACTCTGCTCTTGTCTCTGTTCATCTACACTTGCCCTTCTCTTCTCCTGAATTAAAGGCCTCATTTCACCTGTACCTGGGCATTCCTTGCCTTCTTGCTCTGCATGGACATCTTCAGGTTTTTCTTTGTTTTCTGACAATTCTACGACTGGTTTGCCTGTAGTTGTGTGGGTTTCAACTAAAACTTGCCTCTCTGTTCTGGTTTCACTGTGGGCTCCTGCCTGTTTATCTGTGGTATCTTGTATCTGTGCTGGTTTCTGGGTGACATTAGAGAATGGTCCACACAGGAGCTCAAAGGTGCGTCTGTTGTGAACCCATGTCTCTGGAGGAGGAGGACATGGTGCCTTGACTTTAGGAGGTGGGGGGATGTCCAACAGCTCTCTGATTTCCGCTCTACAAGTTGAGGGATTGCTACTCGGTGTGGCTGCTTTTGGAGCAACAGTGGGTGGAGATCCCTGTGGAAGTGGATTTGGGCTACATGTGGGGACATCTGCACTTGCAAGCTCAGATGTGCCAGATGATAAAGAGGTAAGTGAGGATGAAGGGGAAGCTGCTGAAGATGAGGCCCGAGACACCGATCTTTCTGGTTTGACAGGTTTCTTCTTCTGTTTGTCTGGGGAGGTTGGGGAGATCCCTTTTGGAGAAAGTGTTGGAGTACCACTCTGACTAGAGTAACCACTGGAAGGGGACATGGTCCGTTCAAATTTACCCCCTTCCGAGGGAGTTTTCTGTGGGGAAGAGGTGCTGGATTCTGGTGGTGCCTCTGTTGTACCTCCAGCCTCATGAGAAGAATCCTGTGTGGGGCTCAAAGGAGTGGAGGAAGAATCCAAGGACCTTGACTCAGTAGAGTTTGATACGGTTGTACCGTCATCTGTTGTAACCAGCTTTGTCTCATCCTTTGCTACATTGTTTTCTGTGGCAGTTTTCACCTCCTCTGAAGTAGAGTCATTGAAATCCTTGCTGTCCACTAGAACCCTGGAGTTACCTCTGATCTTATTACTATGCAGGGAGTTTGTTCTCCGTGGAGGTGCTGGGGGTTGTTTAGTCTTCATAACTGAAAGACTACGAGTGCAGTTGCGCTTGTTCTTTGCATGTTCCTCAGCCGCCACTGACCCTGATGCAGCAGACTCAGACTCTGGTCCTGTATCAGCATTTTCAATTTTACTGCCGGGGCTGCTAATCAAACTAACAGAGCTACGGAGACTGACAAGGTCTTGGTCCCCACCAGTCTGCTCTGCCTGGCTTTCCTGTACATGAAGACCTGCTTTCTGTGAGTTACCGCTGCGTGTGCTACTCTTGGA